TTTGCGCTAGGGCTTTAGGGCTTGTTTTAAGGTTACGGTTACGTTTAAATCTTCCTAAAATGTTTACGGGTTCACCATTAAAGACATGGGTATGATTGCCGTTAGGTTTAATGCTAAGTAGGTCTCCCCAGGGGGGGGGGGGCTACCTACCATCCTTTTGCCTAATTTGATGTGTCTTGGCTTTGATTCCCCTGTTCACCATGTCATCCGCCTGTTTATTGTTGCTTCAGGGCGCACCTGCTCCGCCTATACGTTGGATCAGTTTGCCAATGAGGCCGTCCTACTGAACCGTGTAGGCCACCATCCAAATATTGTTCAGATGCTGGGGATGGTAAAGCAGAGCAGTGAGTCATCACGCTTTCCGTTCTTTCTTTTGCACTCTAATGTGTACTGGTGTCGTCTGGCTTTCCTATTCCTGTCATAACGCTTGACTAGTCCAGTATCGCCCTAAGGGTCCGTTAGTCATGGCGAGGAGTGGTGATTTGCGCGCCATTTGGGCTATTGCGAGGAAGGGTTCGTGCAGTCTAGCCGTTCACCACATTGCTGGGAGCATCTCCACGTGCTTGGTATCCAGGCCAACTCGGGGGGGGGGGGCGAGTATTTCCTCTCCCCAAACGGCAGCAAATCCTCAGGCAGGCCTCAACACCGAGGCGCCGCCACCCGCACCGCAGATAATAAACTCCCTCCCCAGCCCTGAAACAATCTGCAGCGGCTAAGCAGTTCCATTCGAGGCAACTGCGCTGGAACCTGACCTCGGTGGCGTTCGGCCCCTCCCCCCCCCCCTTGTCAGGTCATCTTGAGAACAGACCTAGCCGTAAAATACTAGCATATTCGTCTATTTAAGACCATATTAGGAAGAACTCATTAGAACCTTTCAGTTCCTTAGGGTGGACAGTCAGACCTCTTTGAAATTCGATCCCCCACTCTAGCAGAGGACAGTTGAAGGGGATAAGCACTAGTTTATTGGGGGAATTGTAACCATTTATTGCGGAAACACAGATCTCACCATGATCTGGCTCATGCAGTGTGTTTGTTTCTAGGACTCGAAGGACTGCCTTTGATTGTCCTGGAATACGTGGACGGTCCTAACCTGCTGGATTATCTACGTTCCATGCTAGCAGATACCGGATCGTCTGTGTCAGGCAGCACCATCTCTCTACTCCACTATGACCTCGTTGGGCGTCTCTTCCGGGCAGACCTTTTCTCAATCGCCGTGGACGTTGCCAACGCTATGGCTCACCTGACGTCTCTTCGAGTATGTAGACTGGCCTTACAATAATCCCCTTTGTCTTCCAGCAAATGAATAGGACTCAGACATACCCGCCATGCCAGACAGTCCTGTGGTGACTATTGGGTTGCCCTTTAAGTTGGTGCGCTTTTCAATCATTCATACCATTCACAGAATTAATGAGTTATGTATTCCGCTTCGTTCGCAACACTTTCCCAACGTTCAGGCAGTTTTCCAATCGTGCGCCTGGAAAAATCCGCGGGATTTGCGCAATTAAGTCATCGATCAAGTTTTGGGGATCCGTGTCGTTATTGGAGGATACTTCGGTCAAATTGTTTGGCTTAACCGAAGAAGATAATAACCCGATAGAGCAGAGTCCGGAGAATATGACGGATGCGAAAGGACCTCCCAACCAAGATCTTCAATGACACATTTTAGTTTAATTTGCGACATGAAGCCCAGCGTTTTCATGCTGCAAAATGGCACCATTTTGACGATTCTGGCGATTTAAGTTAGAAATGTTAAATGAATTTGGCAAACGCTTGGGTAGAGGGACGAAATGACACATATAACATGGACACATCAAACAAGTTACAACATGACTAAATTCTGAATATAGTGAGATAACAAAGGTACTAAAGGCCCAGACACGCGTGTTTCGCTGATATTGGCACAGTTACGAGGGGTTCGGCTCAACAATGGGTCCTCCCCCAGTGCCGGTGTACCTTTTGGCAGATAGTCCTGTTTCATTTTTAATTTCCACAGAAATTAATCCCTAACTTGTAGTAAATTAGTCCAACGCTTCTTATCACTGAGCTATGGGCTCGCTGTCCTGTCGGTTGCGATGGGGAATATACAGTGATAGAGGGGCGCTTACTGACCGTGCTACGAACCCCCCTGGTCCCCTTGTCTCTCCCTCTCTCTCTCTCTCTCTCTCTCTCTCCCTCTCCCTCTCTCTCCCTCTCCCTCTCTCTCCCTCTCTCTCTCTAGGAATTCGCGCGGAGGGAGTGGACAGTAAAATAAAACTGCGTAAAAATTGGGTGTTTCGTTACTATGAACCTCTCCCATTGATTTTCGATGCCCTTATGAATCAAAGTCTATTTTAAAGCAAACGCGTGCAAAAATATCCCGTATTTTGCTTATTTGGCAGCAAATCACGTCTTCAAATTTTGTTCTTAACGAAACTATCTCCTGATTTTAAAGTACGTTCCTAATTATGAGACCTCAAGATCATGAAAAGTCCATACATAAAACATCGTATCTCTGCGTTGGTTAATGTTGTTCGTAAAGCATGCATTATGGTTTAAATCCACTGTAAAACTTGGTGAACCACATGTGGTATCTTAATGTTGTGTGGAAGTTCATGATTTTTCCTGTGCGGAAAATGTACAGCCTATAGTTTGGGGATCCTGAATGCAAGTGTGATGGCGGGTCGGGTTCAAGGTTACTCGGGAATTGAGAGTTTTAGAAAGTCGAATTATACTCCTGCTTCGAGTATGAAATTTAAAGAAGCCGTAATGTGCTACCAAATAAGTAAACGAACGAATGTTTTCTTACATGTTTTTTTTGTAGCATATATTTGCATTTATAAGGGCATTGAAAATAATTGAGAAAAATTCATACTAAAAAGTCGTTTTTGTAAAATCTAGTTTTTTTTTCAGACGGCCGTGAAGCAAGCTTGTTCGAAAGCCGACATCCTGATTTGACTTAAATATCTTAGTATTCAGCTGTGCGGTCCTTGATTTTGCAATTCTTTTAAATTATCTTTTCGAGTTTAAAACACATATCAGAATTTCGGTTAACGTTTTATGAGATAGCATATCTACTGCGTGTTGGAATTCTACCAGAACGCACAGATCTAATATCCCTGCATTAATTGCCAAGCTCCCCAAATCACTGAGTGTTTTATTGACTCAGATGTCGACTGTAGGCAGGCTCGATAGCCAGTCGCCGGAAGACGTTGTTTGGTTTTTTTTCTGTTGCTGTTGACGTCGATCAGGCACTCACTTCTCTCAACGCTATTGGCCCTCGACAAGTATACTCTACACGAACGGAAGCCCTTCAGTCATGTAGAAATTCGCTTATTCTCTGGCTCTCTGAACACGTTCGGCGGCTTGATAGAGGGATGATCTGTAAGTCTCTAGGTTCGAAGGTGAACCTCTCCCCTTCCGGGGACACAGCTGCCATGACTGTGCTGAACGGTAGCAGGTGAGATCTGATTGGGTGGCTATGACTTTTGCCCTTTATGTAGGTAGTCGAATTGCCGTGTTGGCCACCGGACGGGTATTACTGCACCGTCGTCCGAGACCGCCTATCTTTCAACAAGTTTTTCTCCGAGTGCCGTCACACTATCCACGACCGGTGGACGTGCCAATCGACTTCCAGCTGTTCATCCTCAGTGTTTATTTCACCTGGCGCATATTCGGTAAAATCCATGCCTTCCAGAAATTGTTTCTCACAACTCCACGCTCTAAGTATTTTGCCTTCCGACACAACGGCTTTGAGTACAAGGGCGGAATGAACAAGAACGTTTTTACTGTATGCTGTCAGAATAGCATTGTCGACAAAAAACAAAGGAGACTGGGATGGCCATTTCTGGCCAAACGTGACTGGCAGGACGAGCAATGAACTTCTAAGGAGCAGGTCAAGGGAACAAGCCTTTGGGGGGTTGCACAACTCAGAGTTGGGTACGGCTGGCTGACGACGGCTAATTAGCTAGAAATAGCCTGATTAGTCTCCCTTGCCTATTCTGCCTATATTACGCGCCGTTGCGTGGCAGCTACGGAGTTCAAGAGGGAGAGAGAGCCCTAAGGTACAACGGAACGTGTGACTCCCGTAACGCAATCGATGAGCGCCCGTCTACTGCTGTGTGGTGTAAATTTTATCCTGGCCGGTCTTTTGAGGATGCCTCTTCGTGAGTCCCTGCTTGCACCCATATACCACGACGGATGTGACCAGTTTCTTGCAACTAAGCCCTTGATTTTTACTAGATTCCGCAGTTTTTGTTGCTTTTTTGCAATTCGCGTCACAGACGTTGGGAACCAGAGTTTCGGTGAGACAGACCTGTCTGGTTGACGCCCCTTTTTGTTCACCTGTGCAGATATCCCACGGTGATCTGGCCGCTAGGAATGTCATTCTCGCCGGCGATTTCACCGCGAAGCTCTGTGACTTTGGTCTAGCCCGGTCTTATGACGACTCACCGAAAAAGGTACGTATACCATGTTGTTTGTCCACGCAATTCGTTCGATGACCCTTGCTGACGCACGCACCTCCGTTCACTGTCTTTTACAGACAACCTTTCGATCTAAACACGCGTGGGTAGTGGTAGGTTGTAGGACCCTAAGAGGACTATCCTACACAGACTTTCTACTTTACTTGTTTCGGTACGCGGTCGTTTTTTGGACGCTCCATGTAAGGAGACCAGTGCAGACACTTCTCCGCACTCAGCCCACACTTCACTTGACCCTAGTTCACATAGTCGAGACGCGATAGTAACACTTCGCAGATCCTCCGCAGAACCTTGATCTGCGAATGTCTCTGATGATGGATTCGAGTGAGGATCCGAAACGTCAGGCAAATATATTTCTTGTTCCGGTGATGGCATCATCATCTTCTGAGTAACACTTCGGTTCCCTACTGGTATCAGGGTCAATGCGGATACTACCTTGCACTGCACATTTACTTTACTTAAACTTAGGTCAGATAGTCGAGAAGCGGTTAAACCATCCTGGCTCCTTCCATGTACCGGGGCGAGCGCAGGCGCTTCTCTGCACTCAGCCCACACATCGCACGATAGATATTTACTGTTGACACTGCAGTCTTCGTCTATTTGTGTAATTTTCAACATGTGCATATATGGCTGACCGGTTATCCCTACGCAGCCTATGGCTTCTTAAATTTTCCTTTTAGACATTTTTCTACACTTTTCATTAGATATCTTTAGTAGCGTACAACGGTATCTGTTAATACTTACATTACTCCGGCGTCGCTTTGCTTTCTGAGATTGTCTGATTTGGGTTCGCTATCGAGCACTCAAAACCAGTGGGAGTGGAAACATCACTTATCTCTCGTCGTTCCTATTGGATGGAATTGCCTTGACCGCCTGACTGGATGTAAACGTACTATCGGCGGCTTATTTAAAGCCCGCTTCTTCTTGAAAACCATTTTTTGTTTCTTTTTTTGATTATCACTCTAACTTTTCGTTGCTATACAGCAGCCCGCCTTAAGTTTCACGGCCGCAGTTCATTTATTTTCTGCGCTTCCTCGGATTTAACCTTCCATCCTACGCGCGTGATGCCCCACCCGTAAAGCCCCCATTACCACTTGTCCTGCAAAATACGGGTAGCGATCTATCTTGGGATCTTACAAACCACCGATGCCCACCTGTGTGTTCTAGGCCATATTCCATTTCAGTTACTTTTGCTGCCTCCGATAGGTCTCACTGGACCGTCTGCCCATCCGTTGGTCCGCTCCAGAACTACTGGCCAACCCTCCCGTATGGCACCCGAAAAGTGATGTCTGGTCCTTTGGAGTGCTTCTGTGGGAAATCTTTTCGTTGGGCTCGACACCCTATCCCACCTGTGCGACGGAGGAGGCAGTGGCCGACCGTGTTCTTTCCGGATGGCGTCTTACAGCGCCCACCTTTGTTCCTCGCCAACTGGAGAGCCTGTTCAGTCACCTCCTGTCGTCCTGCTGGGGTGCGGTGGGCCAACCGGACAGTCGACCTCCCTTCTCTGAGCTACTGCTGTTTCTGCGTCAGCTGTTGGTCCTGCTAAAATGGCCACCGGCGCGTGCCTCGAATGTAACTGTAAGTTTACATCCACACAGTGCTGCATCCTATGTGCCGCGCACGCGTCGTCAAATGTGCGTGGATGTTTTTCCAGTTTTCCCGAGGGGGGAACCGGGGGATTGGGTGACCAATGAACGATGTTATTTCTCCAAAAGAAATGATTACTGGGAATCGAAGAAGTTTGTATGCAAAGCATAAAGCAGTAAATAGGTTATCCTGGGGATGAAACGAGGCGAGTGTTTTTTTTAAAAAGTACAGACGACTAGATCGGTCTACAATGGCCAAAGTCGTTTTGGACCGAGTAGCGGCTGGTCCAGGCTTAGAATAGAAGACGATGACTAGGGATTCCCTCAACGCCTGTATCCTTACCTTTTGGTTAGAGCTTTTGGAGTGTTATCTGGCGTCCTTCGAACAATAACCTATTCCCCTCTCAGGCGGTCTTATCACCGCATCCAGCATGTCACCAGACTTCTTGGTGCACATGTTGTCTTTGCCAGCTGATGAAGAATGCTTGCTTTCAGACTGTTGGTGATTACGTCTGACCCCGTAGGACAATCATGTCTACTTATTTAATTATTTGCCGCAATGAGTAGAAAGGTATTAGCCTAGACACGCGTGTTCCGTCGATTTTGTGCCGTTGCCTGAACAGGTCTGTTTCAAAGCAGTTACTCAAAGTTCGCCCATTAATCTCCTCGGACATTAAACAAGGCATGTCTCCTTAGTGCGTTTCTGCGCTAGCGAGTGACGTCAGTAGGCGAGTACAGAGAGGGCGAGCTCAACTTCGGCCAATCAGCTAACACCATCTCGCTGATATGCTAACTTAGCCGCCATACGTTCCCACGCTATCTGCGGGTCTATGTAGGCCCACCAGCCAACTTCCAAAGAAGGCTCCCTGTATGTCTGGAATGCAGGTTACCCCCAGCGTTGTTTTCCTGATCTCTGACTAAAGAGAGATAGGTGCAGAAGCGGTCTTAGTGATTACGACACACAATCTGCTTATATTTGTCAATCTATTACCCGAATAGCCCTACTGATAGTGCAAATAATCGGAGTCTAATCAGTCCTGCCGGCATTCTCTCTTCTGTCATCTGTCATCCTTTCTGGCATAGGGCCGTCGAGATATTTTACTCATCTTCTAACACGAGAAACGATCTCCCCCCGCCTCTCCTCCTCCCTTACACCGAACATACTTCTGTCACCGTTTCCAGAACGCTCTATACATGACGTTTTTTTCCTAATATTCCCGTAGGCAAACTGGAACGGTCTTTGTTTCGGGACTTGCATGAGTTGTCTGCCGTGAAAATGGGGGATCCTAACCCGTGATTAGCGCTATTTGGTTTGCACTTAAACGGGGGGCTACGTAGACTTTGACCAATTTTGAGTTTCTCTTCTCCTGTGTCCCACAAGCGCACGGTTTCGTCGACCTCACCTGACCAAAGCAAACATGAGAGATGGCCAGGCGACGGAGTTGTAACCCTGACCGCACCAGACGCGATTGCTCTCTGCCATGTGCTTCCAGTCCCACCCCGAACTGGAGCAAAAAGGACGTTTGCGGGCCGTGCGCCGTAGTGATACGCCTGTGTGTGTGTGGCCTGAGCTTCAAGGCAGACAGGGGCTTCCTTTGCTGCAAGCTCCACCTCTCTGTGTACTTTGCTTGAGTTCGCTTGACCGATGGCCGTGTGCCACAGTGACGCATCTGTATGGGGTCTGGATTTCGAGTCGGACAGGAAACGTTCTTTGTGAGCCTGCCCCTTTGATCAAGTAGGGGTGGCTAGACGGGGAGGAAGGGAGGGGGGGCCCACTGCTGTTTCGCTCATGAGACGTCTCAGCTAAGGCTGTTAAGTGTCAGTTACAGCTGTCTCTACTGTGCGCCGACGGTGAAAACCAGGGTTCAGACGCAGTCGCGCTCCTTCTTGGCCGTGACAGCAGCGTACTTTGGGTCGCTGACGGCTCCCTTTGCAAGTGTCTCGGCGCCGTTTTGATCTCCCAGCTGGGGGGGTCCCATCGATCGACTCCCCCCCCCCTGAGCCGTTGGTGCAACCTAACCACCTGTTTTCAGATGAGCGCACAGAGGCTCTGCCCTCTGGTCGGAGCGCTGGTGTCTTTGTGCCGAGTTTAACAAAGTGCCACAGACCGCCGTTAGAGAACTGCCGTGACTTTCATTACCACTAGCTTTGTCGCCGCCCTCACCGACCGTTTTCTATTATACCGTAGCGTGTGGATAATAGACTCCAGACGACTTTCGACATGCATGGTTGTTTGGACATCGTCCACTGCTGTCAATAGTTCAGTATCGCTCGTGTTGTGAATCTTGGCACTTCTAATTCGGGGCGCGCTGACAAGCCAACCTAAAGTTAGAGTTTATCGTCGTCCGCGCGTTGCCGACTTCGACCTCTTTGATGGCGTTACGGTCAAATTTGTGGTGGTAGCGCGAGGTTTGTCTGGGGCAGGCGAAACGAGCTGGAAATCTAGCAGCTCCAGGCAGTAAAGGTTTTCGTCCGGCATGTGGAGGAGCACGGTCAGGGTAGACGGCGGAGTCCCCCTAGCTGTCACCAACTGCAATACATGACGTCAGACGAGCATTAGGGTATGGATGAAATATCCCTTCATCTGTGCTGATTGTAGGATATGATACGAACGATTCGTCCTTGTGTAGGTCAGGATAGAATTGTGAAATAGATGTATGGTGAGCTCGTGACTGACGTCGAACCCTCTGCGGTCAGCGCAAGATCGACCTGGAGACAACAATGAGGTAGTTCTCAGTGTGGATAGGAAGGTTGTTGTTGTTGTTGTTGAGCAGACACCAGTCTCTTTCCTCATCGCCATTTGTCCTCGGAAGTTGCAACCTGAGAACGCGAACCGAAGTCATTCAGTCGTCCAAGCAGCCTGTTACCCAGCGAAGCTGTCCGACAGCGGTTGCGTTTTTGGCTGTTTGGTGAAGGAATGGCTTGCTCTAATCCCTGGAGTAGAAGGCGGGCTTCTCTGCTCATCTCACCGACGGACTAATTCAAAGTGCCATAATTGTGCGGGGCAGCAGCATGGTGCGGAAGGACCGGCAATTTTACCGCCGTCGTACTTACATGTACGGCTGCTATCATGCCTGATCTAGCCGGCCTCGATGATGTCCCGAACTGTACCTCTCCACGCGTGACGATCTGCAGCAGCAGATCTGGACAGCTCAACCCATTCCCTTCGCCAACGACGGAGACCGAATACCGAAGGTCCAAGAACCACCTCCATGTCTTGACGGACAGTGTCCAGCCAGGTTTTGACCTGACCCCCTATTCGACGCCTCCAATGGGGCAACGGTGCCGGATCGAGGGCAGTAACACTGAGCTCCTGAGGTGGACGACGAAGAACATGTCCGAACCACCTCAGTCGTCTTTCCTGGATGGCTTGAGTTATCCTTGCGAAGTTGTCGCAGCGAGCGCGGACTGTCTCATTTGAGACGAAGTCGGTGAACTTCACTCGAAGGATGGTCCGCAAGCAGTGGTGGTTAAATACCTCCACTTTTCGCTCATCCTCCACGCGCAAAGTCCAGCATTCACAACCGTAGAAAAGGACAGACCGGACAGATGCACTGTACACGCGAATCTTAGTGGCGATGGAGAGGTCACGTCGGTTCCACAGGCATTTCCGATGGCTTGAAAAAACCCAGCGGGCAGCGTCGATTCGGGAGACAATGTCGTCAATGCTCTGTCGATTAGGCAGCAGCCTCGCCCCGAGGTATTTGAAACTGTCCACTTCTTCAAGTTGACAGCCATCAATCCCCAGGGGTGCCTTCTCCTGGTCAGGGATGCAGCTTGAGAATACTTTGGTCTTCCCAGCGTTTATGGACAAACCGACTGATTTAGCGTTCTCGTTCACCCGTGACACCATCGACTGCAGATCACCAAAACTTGAAGCAAGTAAGACGATATCATCGGCATAGTCGAGATCAGTCAGTCGATGTCCGGGTGCAAATTCAACGCCGTCACTGTCGCGTTGGGACCTCCCGAGGATCCAGTCAATCGCGTAGTTGAACAGTATGGCTGACAGGATACAACCCTGCCAATAGAAGCGAAGAGCCGAGTCCCAGGAAGTAGTCTTGAAGAAGGAGACACGATCGCCGGGACAAGAGCTTTATTAGCCTGACGTTTCGGATTCCTACTCGAATCCATCATCAGAGACAAAAGAGCAGAAACGGGTGGTTGTTGCATCCTATAAATACCGCAGCCCCTTGTACAACAACCACCCGTTTCTGCTCTTTTGTCCCTGTTGATGGATTCGAGTAGGAATCCGAAACGTCAGGCTAATAAAGCTCTTGTCCCGGCGATCGTGTCTCCTTCTTCAGGATACAACCCTGTCGGACGCCAGACCGAATAGCGAACGGTTGGGAAAGATTTTTACGGACCAGGACTCTCGCAGTAGTGGAGCGATAGTAGGCCTTGATCATGGCGATGATTTTTGCCGGTACACCATCTAGCGCCATTATCCGCTACAGAGACTCACGCTGAACCGAATCGAACGCGGCGGCAAAATCAACGAAGCAAACGGCCGTCGGTTGTTGGTAGCTATGGCGAAATTCGAGAATGCGCCTCAGTGTGAATATCTGATCTGCGCATCCACGTCCAGCACGAAATCCGGCTTGGTTGGGCCTCGTCCTTCAGGCACGCACAGTCTGGAATCGTCTGAGTAGGACAATAGCGAAGATCTTCGCAGCAACGTCGAGGAGACTTGTGCCGCGGTAATTCTCGCATCTCGTCTTATCTCCCTTCTTGAGGATAAGTACAAGGATGCCTAAGCCCCAGTCATCAGGAACAACCTCGTCTCTCCACGCTCGTTCAATCACTTCATGGAGTCAGGGCGCCAGAGTGTAGTCGTACTGCCGTTGTCCTGTAGCCTACTTACAGGTAGACGAGTTGTCGCGTTGGTTTCCAACCGCGAGGATATTCCATGATGATGAATAATAAAAAATAACGAAAATAGTTAAAATTGATGTTTTGTGAGCTTTTCTTATGTTGGGCCTGCCTGATATGGCGAAGACTTGTAATTGCTGAGCACGCGGTTGCAGTGGATATGCTATCTCATGAAATTCTGGCTGAAATCCGAAAATTTATTTTCCCTTCGGAAAGATTACTTTAGTAGGATTGCCATGTTACCTATCTTGTCGCGCATAATGTCAAGATATTCCAGTCGCATCAGGATGCCGCCTTTCGACCGCCCGTGTAAACTGCATTTTGTAAAAGATGACTACTTGAGTAGTATGAATTCTAACGATTGGATTTCGATGCTTTTATAGAAAAAATGCAAAAAAGTATTCTTCCGTTTACTCCTTTGGTAGCAAATTACATCTTCAAATTCTTGTGCTGCAAGAAAGAGGATCTTCCGGTTTTGAAGAAAGTTTCACAATTCTCTAATAATTTTGAAACCGACGGCTTCAATCACTTGCATTTGGGGTTCCCAGACTACAAGCCGCGCAGTTTTCCTGCGGGAGAATTCATACACTTCTACGTACTATTAAAAAGAACATATAAAGCTCACAAAATTTTGCAATGACCGTTGACACCGTTGTCCACTTTATAAGCAGTATTAATAGATGCACTGATGTGATTGGACATCTCACATTTATGGAAAATCCCATATTTAAAGATCCTTTTAAAACCGCAAGACACTCTTCCTTCAAGTGTGACCTTTGAAGAAGGCGTAATTTGCTGTCAAATGACGACAGGAAGGAATATTTCCGCGCATATTTTCTGTCAAATATGTTTGAATTTGTAGGGCCATCGAAAATAAATGAGGGAAGCTCAAGCTGCTTACGCAACCATTTTTGACAACGTGCATTTTACGCAAGTGGTCGACAAGGAGCTCGGTCGAAAGCCGAAAGCTTGAAGTATCTGAATTATTTTGTTAAATTGTCGTGCGGAGATTAATATTGCAACCCTACTAGAGTAATCCTTTAGAGTCGGGAATTTTGGTAAACTTTTCATGAGAGAGCACATCTACTGTGGGCTTTTTTGTATCGAAGAGGTCTTTCTCGTCCTTTCACGGCCCATTTGATGAGGGTGGTTAGGTTTTGCATTGGACTTCGGTCTGAGTGGGATTATGATTATTCGCTGACCGCAGATGGAGAGGCTGGCTGTTAGCGGAGTCAACCTCTTCCGACCGATGGACTGGCCTGCATAATTGTATTGCTCATGCGGCGGCCTTGACTATGGTTATATCCGAGGCAATCGTTCACGAACGCCAGAGGAGAGAGAGAGAGAGAGGACTGTTCTGCCCAAGCCTCAGTCGACCGAATGGCGGGAACGGTCAGCTAATTTGGAACTAGCTGAAGGTTGCTGTGCGACAGCAGTTTTTGTACGAAATTGAGTGACCTTGGGACATTTCATTCTCAAAGAAGCAAACAAAGAGACTGGCATAATGATGGCGCTTGCACACAACTCCCAGCGCGAGCAGGTTTGGGTGTCTTACAAATTGCACAACTCTGTCATGCGAGCACGATGATACCACACTTGGACATTTCAGTCACAACAAATGCCTCTTCTTACATGAGGACAGGTCAGTTGCGCATGTAGCCAGTCTGTTTTGGACTCGCGTCTTTGTTCTCCGCCGGGGTAACAATCGGGAGATGGCACCCAAAAAATCCGCCTAACCAAAGCAGCCTGTCTTACGGGACAGGTGGTAACAGGGGTTTTATGGGGGATGGCTGATGGGGATGTACGCTACTAACCGACAAAAAGCCTTATTTGAGCAGGTGAATGATCGAAGTTGGCCCGCTCTCCGTTCCGTTATTACAAAATGGGTCGCGAAAGACAGCATAGTGATAACGGACGAGTGGAGGGCGTATAACCGTCTTCCCTCAGATGGTTATCTACAATTCCCTGTTTACCAATCAACGAACTTCAAAGACTACCACCGGACGGCACACCAATGCCATTGAGGCATACTGGAGTAGAATGAGAAGGAAACTCCACGAGGGAGGCCCAATATGTGGTCAAGATGTGTGGGCCCACAGAGACGAAGTACAGTATCGTCTTCGGTTTGGCCTCAATGCCATGTCTGTGACAGATGCCTGGGAACTGTTCCTGTCCCATGTTGTGCAGACTTATCCTATTTAAAAGTGATTTTGTTTTGTAATAAACTGCCATAATGCGAATGTATGCCGTTTATTCAGGTGTACGTGTGTAACGATGGGGAAGGTTGGGTAACAGCGACCATCGTCTATGTAACCTCCTGCGATGTTCGTTCGGCCAGCCCATGTTAGGTCGTCGGGGAAAGTCGAAGTAGTGCGTGAAAGTAGGCCTGCAACCGCTGATATAGCCTGAAGGCGTTTGAGTCCACTGTTAAAGGTATTATTTCTAGGTAACGGATTTTTTTGGGTGCCATCTCCCGATTGTTACCTCCGCCGGTTCTGTTTATGCCCTTCTCATTCCTCATCGTTTATGTGGGCTTACGCGAATTTGGCTTCACCCCGGCCTGATATTTGTGTGCTCATTTTCGCGTCAAAGTAAACCTTCCTGCTGTTACCTTCAAGAAACAGAGTGATTAGAGTGGTTATAGCTGACTTATTTGCATAACTAGCGGCGATCGCATATTGGTTTGCTGTATAAAGCCTAAGTGAACATTTTGGCGCCAAAAGTGGTCTTTTACGTGTCTCGTCAATAAAGGCTGATGCTTGTGGTTCCTCCTCTTGGCACGCATGGAAGCCTGTTCCAAAAAAAACTGTTCTGAGAGTGGTGCGGCAATGTTTCTTAAATACTTCGAACGCCAGATGATGCAGCACTTACGCTGTGAAGTCATTTTACAAATACTGGAGTTGATTTTCGGGGTAAATTTCCTTCATTATCACGAAAAACACATGTCACAACCGAATATCAGGTATATGGAGGAACGTTTTGCTGTTCATTTATTTATGCTGGTGTGACCTCTAATGTTGTTTCATGGCCTTTCTCTTCCAGGGATACCTCAGCATGGAGCCTGAACCATCGCACTGAGAGGCCAAATATTTTTTTGTACTGACAGTCTCGTCAGCTTTGCCTATCTGCCATTTTTGTACATTTAACACCTTTTTTAAGAAAATAAAAGCTTCGGAGACTCAGATGTTTTCTGCAGAGAAATCCTGCTTCTCCGAAGTGACCCAATTTGATCCACTGGCCTGAAGGGATTGCAGCTACTAGATTGATTTGGGGTAAGGATCATATGACGAGGGGCGCACCTCTCTTCCACGCCTGTGTCATTTTCCTAATTTGCACCGTAAGAAAAGGGTATGCCCTCTGTTTGCATTGGTTACGGGACGGTTCACTCTGCTTACTTGCGTCCTAGCTTTTGCATTTTGTAGTCATCTCGTCTGCTATTTGGTCTGAGGAAGAAGATGAGCTCTCTGGAACAGATTTATTTGGGTGCCTTAATTTCGAAGAGCTTGGTCGGCTCTCCATTGTCAAGGCGTAAAGGGCACCTAATCGACCAGGAAATGGACTGGCATGTCGTGTTGGTCGGCCTCATGCTGATCGAGTTGCCTCTTTTTGCCGCGGCCTCAGGGATGGTTGGCTAACGTTTTAACCTCGTACTTTATGAGTCACTACTTAGTCGGAGGAGGTGATTGGACCTCTGTCGGGTCTGGCGGTTCATCTTCTTCCTCGTCCAATAAATTCGCCATGGGACTGCCTCTGTATGGCCTACTTAGGTTCTGTGTGGTCGCCTTGTCCGGAGCATTGCGAACGTGGTGACGTAGGACTTTGTAAGCTGAGGGAAGTCCAAGGTGCCTGCCGATGGACTTTGCATTGGAGTACCACGCCTGGAGTGTTAGTCGTACTGCTTTCGTTTCCCCGGCATAAGATGGTAGCCTCTTGGAAAGCGAAAGTATGCCCACGTTCTCCAACGTGCATCGCTTGTTGAGAGTTTCAGTCAGCCTTCTTGTCGCCGGCCTGAAATTTCCGCCCGGTCCCCCAAACAGAGTTCCAGTCCCCTTTGTGGAGTACGCCAATTGTTGGCCCGTTCGCGTAACTCACACAGAGTCTTTAGGACCTAGCTGCTTTCTAGCCTGCCTAGATTCAGTCGCCTGAGGCAGCTTACTTCGTGAAGTATGTACATGGAAACGGTGTAAATAAGCGCAGAATTGTGCGGAAACACGGTTCTATAATTGGCATGATTAGCAAGATTTAGATGTGACACTTACAACCAAATGTCTCCAGGCGTACAGTCAGAAAGATGTGGCGTATCGTCAGACGGGCAGTGTCAAGTTGCGCGTGAAGAAAACGGGAGATTCAAACAAACAGTACGAGGGTTGGAGGGAAACAGAATGCCATACTTTTCCGGGGCAAACAAGAAATCTAAAGTATACGGTAAATGGTGTCAAAAAAGGGTACAACATACGTGGGAACGTACACTCCCACCCAAGACTTGCGGTTGTCGTTGGCGCGGGTATCATTCATCGCTTGGTTCGTGGTTCTCTAACAGGCACAAACTGCGCACGTCTCTCACTGTTTTGCC